CGCACTATGTCTTTTTATATTAAATACTGTCCTCAGTTCCCCAGCAAGTTCCAAAAGAGCTAAGCAAACATTTGTGTTCTCCAAATCAGGATTAAAGTGGCTGGGAGATGTAGTTGTTTCTTCTTTCTCAAATAATTTTTTTCCGGATTTTAATTCCTTCTTTACATTAGCTTCGTTTCAACAACCAAGATTTTTTTTTTTGCCTGTTTTAACTGAATAATTTGTAAACAAAAGGAGTTTTATGTGGAAAGAGAAACCGCAAATGTACTTCAGGAATGAAGAGAAGCTAAAGGAAATAAGAGTTGAAACTACTCTTTGCCTTCCAGAGTAAACTTTTCAAAATTCTTCCTGCCATTAGAATTAAATAACACAAGAGTTCACTGAGAAGGAAATATTTGGAACAAATGAATTTTCAAGATGAAAAACATTAGTGCTGCTGGATTTCAGAAGAAATATAGTGCTGTGAAAAATGGAAATCATGGATCTATTTGGGAAAAGCAATTTTGTAAATGAAAAAGGGGAAACAACAGTAACACCAAAAAGATACTGAAAATATATAAACATACGGGTAAATTGTAGGGGTGATGCAGAAATATGATTTGCATCTTTTTTCTTTCTTTTTTAATTATAATTTTAATTTATTTCTCTTATCCCATTTTTATTATATGGTCTTATTAATGTCTTACATTTTATATGTTTTATATTCTGTATTCTGATATGGCCTAATGGCTAATCAATAATAAACTGAACTATAAACATACTAGGTTTATTTAGGATGGAGTCCAAAGGTATAGAATTCTGAAGGGAAATAGTTCCAATATTTTGTGGGCTGAAAACAACTATATTGGATTACTATTATTTAGCAGTGTGTGTGTGTAATATACACACATACATGCACATTCACATATATATAATGTATATATACAACAATTCTTAAAAGGAAGCATTGTAGATAAAACTCCTCGAGTTACAGTTTTAAGATATGAAAAATCATTGTAATAAATGAATAAATGCTATAACATCACCAGCAATAATTTTTGTCATATTGGCAGGCTGTTTGGCAGCTGACTAAATAAAAAAGTTATTCTTTTCCAAGCACAATTTTCAGAGTTTCTTTAGCAAGATTTTTTGAGATGCATGGGATGGAGATATAAGAATTCTAGCAACAAGCTGTTTTCAGTGAAGAAAAAAAAAATCCCCATATACATTAGAGCAGAGATAATTTGCTTTCCAAAAACCTTCCAATCAAGTCTTTACTGGGGAAGTTCGCAGCTGGTTGTTATGTAACTGTCTCTTGAATCTCTTACTAATCTCTTACAGAGTATGTATGGTAGACTGCTGTCCCGATGACTACCAATTCTTCCCTTTTATGTGGATTATTATATCAGGAGCAGCAACTTTCACAAGATCATCACATAATCAGGCTGTTTTAATATTTTTAGGATTGTTTGTGGTTGACAGAAGTCAAACATATAGCCAATTCAGAGTATATTATTTCATTGCAGTGCATTTACATGCATCTAACATGAAACGTAATAAATAAGAGTACAAAAGATTATATTAACCCATAGGGCACAATCTAGCCTTCCATTTGAGAAGTCATGGCGTATTTTTTATCCCACCGCTAAACTGCAGTTACATACCAGTAGAAGAATGACAAAATGTGACACTGAATCCTTGAAAAAAGCAATAATTCAGACATAAAATCTCCTATGTACTATAACTGTTTAAGTACCAACGTTTCTTATTTAAAGGATTTGGGCAACAGGACTACCTTCAATTATGACCTTACATTCTCAGCCCAACCTATTTTACAGGTTGTGCTTATGGGAAAACTGGAAAAAGGAGTGCCATGTATGCATGTATTTATTTGTTTTCTGAAAGATAGCCATAATTATGTAGATAGTAAGGTGCCAGATGAGCCAGTATTCTCATTCACATAAGGCTGTTTTGTGTTTTTTTCCCCAGTGTTTAGGGAAAGTAATAATTAAATTACTTTCCTTTTCTTCAGTCAAATATTTGGAATTATTTTTTTCCTTAAGAACAAAATGAATGTGGATTGTGGTGTTAATGCCTGAATATTTCTATTTCACTTATATTTCCTGTTTGAAAAGAAGTTGTTTTAATATGAAATTGTATAAAGACATTCTGAAAGCTCTTAGT